TTCAAAAATAATCCTGATATTACTTAGTTGCTATGGCACTGTCTTTCCACAATCCCAAATATTTTGTGTGGTCATTGAGTAAAGCAACTGAAAAGTTTTTCATTCACTTAAAATGAGTTCTTCGTGGTTGATGATGTCACCTATTGGAAATTCTGAGTCAGGGTTGGAATCCCTCTACTCGGAGCCAAATTTATGACTTCCAGCTTGGTCAACTCATGTTTGATGGCCTAAGTCATCAGACAAACACTAGTATGGGATGCCCATAAATCTAGGAGTGACGCTAATACTCCTGAAAAGTAAATATGTCCCAGTTCCTCCTGTCCATAAAGATATATACTACGGCATGTCTCCTGCTAATGCCACCTGGACAGCAGATGACATCAAAATGACAGGCTACAAGAAACAAAACAAAAAATATCTCCATTTTAGGAAGACTGACACAGTAATACATATATAGTACACATTCAGATACTTATTTTAATATTTTCATTAATTCAGTAATTTAACAAATATTTATTAGGAAGAATTTAAGAAAACAAATGTCAGTGGCAGAACTGCAATGGAAGGACTAAGATTTATGGTCTTAAAGTAAATCTGTCTTTAGAGAAATACTGTATGTGGTGTTCCATTTGCGATCTTCTTTTGAAAATGCTAGTTGAATAGCTGTTATGCTCACCCTCTGTCTTCAGTAGCTTCTAGATCAATGACCAGGAGCAGTTATGTAGATCAGGAAATTCTGAAAAAGTTACTTTTCTTGAGTTTGCAATTTAAATTATTAAACAAAGGGGGCCCATATGGCTGTCAGGTAACTAGGTTTTACAGAAGGATAAGCCAGCAATGTCAGCCTCCATGTTTCCCTCATGACAGCTTTCCTTTAATGTTCACTCTGGGGTACAATGATACAGTCAGGAAGTATGTTTATGTAAAGCTGTGGCCGCTTGAGACATGCCAGCAGAAGTAGTTAAAATGTTTTATAGGGTTGTCCCCTGGAAGACTCCTTTAGGGCTGCACCAGGCATGTCCAGTCGGGGTCTACCTGGAACATCTGACAGCATGATAATTTACATAACATTGGGATTACAAGGCATGCACTAACTTTTGTAGCTGGCAGTGTATCCATGACATTCTCTTCAGCTGGGGAATGGTGGATGGTAAATGCAGTTCTGCCATAGAGCGAACCTGTGATTTGAATATGCAGAGCAAAACAGGTTCATTTTAATCCCCTTACCCCCAGCAGCACAAACTCACATTTCCTTTGGCCCCGTAAGTTAAGTCACTGAGGTTGTATGCTACAGGGGGCTATTACACTCTTCCCATGTGCCAGCACTGGTGCTTGGTGATTGCTCCAGCACTCTGACATGGATTTAGTCACTTGCTCCTCCATACCCCAAAATAGTGGGGATTTTTTTCCACCTGGCAGCTAAACAGAGTGGCAGGGGAGATTATGGAAAAATATCATGAAGCCAATTTCTGCTGCTGGACAGAGTCCAGATTCCCAAACAATTCCTTTTGCATCAGCAGAACAGCTCATAGGATAAAATACTCTGTAAATTTAATGGACGTAACGTAGCCTGAGATTATTTTTGCATGAAAGTGCACGGTATAAATAGTTCTCCTCTTATGTATGACCAAAGTATTACACGGAATGTATATATATATATATATATATATACAGGGCTTGAAAAATTTGGCGGTGTCTCACCAGTCAGTCACAAATTTCACCAGTCAGCATGACCAGACTATAGCCTT